GGCATGTAAATCTCATAGCTCAATATTTCTCCATTTAAAATGGAAGGAGATTCCCAGGAAACCTAAAACAATAAGAAATGATTTAGTATGAAACATTAAGAATTCTACAAGGTTTTAAAAATAGTTCTAACAACATCATGCTATTTGAAAAGACAAATACAAGCAACTATGAATCCAACATTCATAAATGTTTATCATGAGATCTCAGATTGTATATGATCCATGATTTGATGTTCCAATAGCTCAGGGTTGAGCTGTGGAGTTCTTAATGCTTTCTGAGCTTGATTGTTTACTTACAGACATTTTATTGTCCAATTAGGTAACATCAGTGCACGGGAGTTTGGGGTTTGTTGCCTGTTTATATACTGTATAATATGCCTGTTTAAAATCCATGACACTAATGATGTTACAGTCATGATGCAAACAACCAAGCTCCAAGAGCATCAAGAACTCCACATAGCCTAATGTGATTTGTCATGACTGTACTTTAACAATAATAATTATAAAAATAATAATAATCATAATACTTTATTAGGTTTATGAAGATAAACTAATTAAAATTAAATATTAAAATTAAAAAAAGATTCAGGGTAGCATACACAGTTTAAAAGATCTTAAGAACCTACAACAACTACAGAAATATCTGTATGTAGGGAAAAATACACAAACAAGAAAATTTCAGTCCCCATCATCAATTAAGTGGGATCACAAATCATCTCTGGCCTGTTTGAAAAGATTTTCTAAAGGGGGCTATATGAGGAATTGATATTTCAAAGGCCAAGACCTGGGGGGAAATGGTATTCCAGATGATATGCCTATGAGATTCTATGCAATGGCAAAGTTTAATCAACAGGATTTAGCCTATCAGATCTTATAGAAAAGACAGAGAGAATTGAAGAAAGGCAATCCCATGAATAATCAGGCCCTGAAATCTATGAAAGGCTTTTTAAATGATAAACAGTACCTTGAATTACATCCAGAAATCATTTGGTAACCATTGCAACTTGCAATGAAGAGCTGTCAAGTTAGGTGTTCTGAGGTGTTAGAACACTTATAGATGTTAAAAAAGAAAGGGGAAAATATTAAACCTTGATCTAGTTTATGAATCATTGGACTAGGACTCTATCTGTCATTTCCTCCCCCTCCATAAACCAACAATGACTGGAACTGGCCATGAACAAAGGAGGAAGTCATTGCAAAACAGTGCTACTAACCCTCCCCCCCAAGTCAGCCAGAAGGATACCATGATCACAGTGGCGTAGCGTGGGTTGTCACCACCTGGGGCAAGTAATTTGCGCCCCCCTCCACAGTGGGCGGTGTCGGCGACCCGGCGGCTCGGATCGGATTCGCACAGCCAGCACTGCAGAGAGAGTGAGTGAGCCAGGCAGGGGCAGAGAGCTGCGAGTGCGAGCGCGCCCCCCCAGATGTTGTGCCCGGTGCGGCCGGGCCCCCCTGCACCCCCCACGCTACGCCTCTGCATGATCAATCATATCAAAAGCTACCAAGAAATCAAGGTGGATTACGAAAGTTGTACTACCCCATCCCACTAAAGGTTATCCACAAGTGCAATCAATGTCATCTCTGTGATATATGCTGGCTGGAAACTCAGCAGAAAATATTCCATCTAATATATTTCTTCCAGAGTGCTGTCTGTTGGTATCAGAAAATATAGTCAAGTCTTTTCCATTTCAAAATACTTTTGCATTTCCTTCTCATAACATCATTCTTTACTGGTATTAAAATCTAATCATGGCTGTCAAAGAGTCATTTTTAATTGATCTAGATGGCAAGCTGTTCACCCGCAAAGCGTGCCATTCAGTTATGAGTATTTTTTTATGTTGGAAAAGATAAAAAAACAGGTTTGTCCAGATATTTGGTATATATATCTTTCCAGGCTTTTTTCCACCATCACAAGGTCCACACGGGCCTTTTCCCTCCCACCCATCCCCACAGGGCTTGGGCTTCCTCCCCACACCCTACTGGATCTCTGGAGCTTTCTGCTATGCTGCATGGTCCACTTTAGGGAAGGAGAATAGTTTGCTTTGTCATGTGGCCATGTGGTGTGATTTTGGAAGTGGTCGCCATTTTCCAAGCATTCACACTGAACTATGGTTGTGAAGAAAAAGGTGGTGCTTCTGGCATTGTGCCATGTGGCTGTGCAACAAAGCAATCCATTTGCTTCCCTAACAGTGCTGCAGAAAGCTCTAATCTTTCTTCTCTACTCAAAAAGTGTTTTGTTTCTTCTCCTCACTATACTTATTGCATCATGACAATTGGATAATACAATAGGATAAAATATATGTATTGTATAATTAACCAGTGGAACAACCTGCCTCCAGAAGTGGTGAATGCTCCAACACTGGAAGTTTTTAAGAAGAGACTGGACGACCATTTGTCTGAAATGGTATAGGGTTTCCTGCCTGAGCAGGGGGTTGGACCAGATGACCTCCAAGGTCCCTTCCAACTTTATTATTATTATTATTATTATTATTATTATTATTATTATTATTATTATTATTATTATTATTATTATTATTATTATTATTATTATTATTTTAGAAATGACATTTTCCTCTGAAAAGTAGTCATTCAGTCATAAAGATTTATCCATAACTTGGATATGATTTCAAACTATTCTTGGTATACCTAGATTGGTAAACTATATGCAACAATATTTTTTCAGTCTCTTGGGGTAGTGAGTGACTACCCTCAAAACTTTTTGTTTGTTTGTTTGTTTTTTTATCTCATCCTCATGGACTTTGGCTATATCTTTCTGATGTCAGTTCCTATTATTTTAGAAGGGATGATAATGATTGGCTAAAGCTCTGCAAGATCCACTACTTTTCAATTTTTCTCACACTTAGCGTGGAAGTTATTTTTATGATGTATGAAAAGTCTTTAACACTTTTTCTATTAAGCCACTAACACTTTTTTCTATTAAGCCACCTGTTTCAGTCAATTCCTATAGGAGTCATTTAAAGCAAAGTTTAATTAATCAGGCTGCTTGAATTTCTTGCAGCCATTTCACGTTTCTAGGGCAGATGCCCAAGATCTGATTAAGTAGCTGTTTCATTTCTATCAAAGAACAAGTGCTTACAAGCCAGAAGAAGTAGTTATAGAATTGGCACAAAAACTATTTCATTATTAACATGGAGAAAACTACTGTGACTGTACTGAAAAGGTAAGAAAAAGTGATTAGTCCTTACTGCACAAACACAATAAAACAAAACATTTGCAGAGTTACTTGTAGAATCATCCTTCTGAATGATTAGACCAGATATTAGACCAACAATTCAACATTGTAGCATAAACTGATGGCCGCAGTCCTAAAAGCATTTCTACTTAACCAAGGGGATGTCTCGCTTTCTCTCTCCCTTGCAATTTTGATGTCCCTGCTATGCTGAACACATTCTCCTGGATTAAAGAAGCTTTCATTCCACTATTTAAATATCAAAGCACTTTAGTTTTTCTATCTCAGAATAGAAAGGGACAGCTATTTTCCCCATTGAACAACAATAACCTTATAAAACATTCTTATAAACATAATCAAAACCTTTCAATTCAAGAAAAATAATAACTCTAATGAAAGAAAACACAGTGTTAACAATTCTATAGGACCAAGAGTATATTAGAATTGTCCAATCTTTTTTTGAGTCAAGAACATTGCTGGTTGTTCTTTTCAACAATAGACAGTACAAAATAGTTCTGTCTTTGTGAACTGTCTCTCAAAAATCATTTCATATCAGAATAATCCTGCAGTCCCAGGATATGTTACTAATGCACCATAAGACATGCCAATATATGGGAAACTCTAAAAATTGAACAAGAAGCTGGCAAATGCAACAAGCCTCTCTATTCTACCTTCACATGGTAGGTGGTAAGATATTTACAAAAGCACAATAGCCTAAAGCAGGGGTCCTCAGCGTGCCTGGCTGAGGAATTCTGGGAGTTGAAGTCCACAAGTCATAAAGGGCCAAGTTTGAAGACCCCTGGCCTAAAGCTTTCAGCATTCTTCAAACCATCAAAAGCTCAGCCTTAACCAAAGAAACCTGTAGTCTAGAGATATAATTGTACTAAGTTTTTAGCATTCCACACAGCATCAGATAATTCATATTGCTTTTATGACTATACAAAAAACAAAACTATATTATTCTTCATATCAAATTCTATTCCAGTTCAAGTAAAAATTTGTACTCAAGGTTTAGGGACTGGTTGCTTTGACAATCGCAACCTTCTATTAATTGATGTCCTTACTTTCATAAAAGAGTAATCTTCCCAACTATTCTTACAAGAATATGAGACTATTTTAAGTACTTATTGACCTATCCCTCAAGCAAGTGCTTATTTATCTTTTTTCCTATAAACCTCTTATTGATGATATTAACATGACAAGCATGTGACAGAAGAGAACTGACCCATTTATTTTAGCCTCTAAGCAGAACTAGAAAGTCATAAAGCTTTTGCAGTTTGTAAACTAGAGTTCTGTAAATGATTTGAACTCTTCTCTGTAGATTTTCTACAGAGCTTCTGTCAAAACTGAAGCCATATTCTAACATAAATATTATGGAATACATAGGGCTTTATTCTCTATAGCATCAACAAGTTTATAACCAGGTAAAAGAGGATATTTTCCTTTTATTTTCAACCTATTTTTCTCTGTATATATCTAGCTATGCAGTCTCTTCCTTTCCATTTCATTTCATTATGTAGACTTTATTTCTGTTGACCTGTTAGACCATAAGCAAGTATAGCTGGCCAAAAGCCTTGAGCATATGATTATGATCTCTTGGATCAGAACAAAACTGAGACTGCTAACTGTGAAAGAAGAGCACTCTTTGTATTTTAGGGAGCTTCAATAAACAAGGTAAAACCACTGCAAACTGTCTTCTAAATCAATCACTATGTCTCCCTCACTCAAGAGGGAAAATTTTGTATAGGAAAAAACAACATGTTTTACATGGTTTAAGTTTGGGCTTAGATTCTGTTGAACAAAATTTCACTCATGAAACTTTCTTCTATGACTATGGAACCTTTTCAGAGAGGACGAAATCCTAAAGCAGCATAATCTGTTTATTTTGCACAGAGAGGTATTTTCTCAAAATAAGGTTCACATTGGTACAAGGGTCTGTTGTGTCAAATGCTTAAATGGGAGAAGACAAATGGGAAACTACTAACAACCATTATGATACTCACTATAAAAATATATATAACTGCCTCTGTGCTATAGACTGTGAAGTAAAAAAACACCTATCTGAATGGCAGATTATGATCCTAAACCTTCAGTGAAGGGGCCTTCCTTCTGCAGGAGACTGATTTGGAGTGATAAGTCCAGCTATATCTCAATTAGGGTGATAATCCCACAAAATGGTTGCATTATTTGAATTTGCACTATTCAAAGTGATTTCTATGGAAGTGTGGTAATTGCTACTACCTTGACTGATAAAGGCAATGAAAATGTTTAACCACGAATGCTTATATGTACATTAATGAAATATTGAGTGCAGTCCTCAAGCCTTACAGTTAAAAGATGCTCAATTTCTATCTTTGCAATACTTCTACATGTTTGCCATCCATAAAGATCTGGTGCAACTTTACCTTTTTCTTTTATTTCCCCTGCATGTTTTATAATATTGTCTACTGCAGATTCAGGCCTTCCAACATATCATCATATTTTAGTGATGCTATGACCATATTCATGACTTGAATTATATCATTTTTTTTCTCTCTGATGTAATAATGACCTTCTTCATTTCTGAACTTGTACTATTTTCCTCTGACGGAATCTTCCTTTTCTCCATTTTAGACACGTGAATATTAGCAGCACCTAAAATCTCAACTGCAATTGAACATGTACTAGCCTCAACTGTGCAATTAACTGAATTTTGTGTTGCATTAAACACGACTTGGTATCAATTTATAATTCTCACTAAACTGAATATTGAATTATTCAAACACTCATTAATCATGATATAACTGTACAAAGCTGTTGCCACTCAGTACATCTAGTGAGTACTTTTCCTCTACAACAGAGATGGTGACAGGACAGTGATATGCGTTGCATCTTGTTGCTGCCTCTTTACTGTTTTCTTAATTTAAACACATATTTTTCTAAGCACCTGGTTACCATGCAATCCCAAGAAAAGCTGTGCATACTCCAAGTACAAATGCCACAGACCACTAACCAAATATTAAGAGTTCTCTCCAGCTCCAAGTAAAGTATTCTATATACAGTATGTATTACAATGAATTCTGACATAATGATTGAACATAATATTTACCATTGCAGCATAAATTTAGTTAATCTCGTTTAGAGTTAAGAGGATGTTTCAAGGCATTTGGATCAGTTTTCACATTTAAAACTATTATTGCACAATTTTTGTGCAATAATTATTGCACAATCAAAGTACAACTTTTTTTAAAAAAAACCAGTGGTTCATATTGCTCTAATGCTTTCTGAGCACTCTGTGTGTGTGCATGCACACACACTCCCACAGACACAGGGACTAAATCTCCTAAAACAGCAACAACAATTTTAGTAGTAACAGTGTCATGATTCTAATGGATAATCTCTATCCTTACAGAAACGAACTTTGTTTTGTGCTCCAGTGAGCAAGCTACTGTACCAATATTTTTTGGCACTAGTACAAGACTGAATCCATGGAAGCATGTGTATATTTACACAAAAGAGACTTCTAAGCTACAAAAATCCCTCTTGTTTAGTTACACTAATTTCCCCTGAATGAAGTTTGTATGTAAGCCAAAACAATAGTAGTTATCCTGTCCTCTAGAGTTCATTCCCAAATGAAAGATATGAATAATTGAAATTTTCTGACGCAGTCCTCTAAAATTGTTTTCTTAATGTATTGATTTATCAAAGATGAAAACAAAAAACTATATTTAACATCTATATATTTTCTTGGTTAAAATTAAATATTCCCACAGTACTATTTAAAATATTCCTTATAAGAAGGAAGCTTGAAGCACAACACAACACAAATATCTAAGATACTAGCAAATATATTAAAATGGTAAGGATGGAGAGATAGACTGAATTTACCACATTTAAGATTAAATTATAACAATTAAAACAACAGGAAGGTAATCTGTTGAATTTAAGGAGATCTTAGTGTACAACAAGGGAGCTGATGAAAAAAAGTTACAACAGGATGATGAATCAAATTCTAGCAAGGGTCATTATGTCCAGACTAATAAAATCTAATGGGCATTCTCTGTCAAGACATCTTGAATTTAATACCAACCTAAAACTGGAGAAACAGAAAACTGAAAATTTTAAGTAGAAAAATCTGAGGCACCACCTGTCTCAGCACTGTCCAATCCAAGAACCAGTGTTTCCAGGATAAGTGCTGTTATAGATCCTTCTTAATATCAAAAGACTGATTTTGGGGTCACATGCAAGAGAGCTGTTTTCTGTATTGCTCCTAGGTGTAAGATAGAACCTTTCTAGAGTTTATTTATTTTTTTAATTTATGAAAACTTTTAAACTGCCCAATAGCTAATGAACTGAAGTAGGGAAAGTTCTTGAAAAAGTAGCGAGATTGCTGCTAAAGATGAAATTATCCCAATTCCTTCTAGCCAGGTTTAGCTATGATTATGGAATGAAAACACATTGCCCTGGTGAATAAATGACACCTGGGTTGGATGTCAGAAGTAAGCCTTCATCTGCCTTCAATACATCAATCTTGGCATCTTTATAAACTATAAAGGATTGGCTCCAATCCTCCCTAAGCAGACAAGTCTAGTCAGTATGGTGGGGGAAGGAGAGGCTGACTCAGCAGTTGTTCTCGTATGGTCATTTCTCTCTCTCTCTCTCTCTCTCTCTCTCTCTCTCTCTCTCTCTCTCTCTCTCTCTCTCTCTCTCTCTCTCTCTCTCTCTCTTTCTCTTTCTCTCTCTCTCTCCCTCCCTCCCTCCCTCTCCTCTCTCCTCCCCTCTAACATCTACATGAAGATGCTGAGTCAGATCACTTATCAGTACAGGATGAGATATCAGTGAACCTCTGACATGCAAGGAGACATGTTTTGATCCCAGACCCATCAAAATGTATGACATGAAACTTGAAAATGTGAACAATCATTGGAGATAGTAACCAATTAGTCTGAACAGAATAACAGCAGATGAAATTTCTATGGGAACAAGAAAGTCAATTGGATTACTTTGGTTGCAGGTTGATGCAGAACAGTTGACAAAGGTCAGTCATGGTGTAATGTGCAGTTTGACACAAAACAGATGTGGTATGAAATGCAGCAGCCCACATGGTTTTCTGCAGACTAGATGTGCACATGTGTCATTTCTCTTGCAAGAGCTGCACTGGCTGCCAATTTGCTTCCGGGTCCAATTCAAGGTGCCGGTTATTAATTTTAAAGCCCTTCATGGCTTGGGATCAGGTTATTTAAAGAACCATATTTTCCCAGTCATAGCTACCCAACCCACCAGAGTGAGGAAGCAGGGAATGATATGGGTCCTTTCTCCTAAGGAGGTACTTCGAGCCCATCAAGTGACTTATTAATTGTTGTTGTCAGGGGGGGTGGGGAGGTTATTGCTATTTATAGTAATAGCAATAGTACTTAGACTTACAGTATATGCTGATTCATAGTGCTTTACAGCCCTCTGTAAGCAGTTTACATAATCAGCATATTGCTCCCAACAGTCTGGACCCTCATTTTACCGACCTCAGAAGGATGGAAGACTGAGTCAACCTTGAGCCAGTGAGGATTGAACTCCTGACAGTTGGCAGAATTAGCCTGCAATACTGCATTCTAACCACTGCGTCACTATGGGTTATTGTTTTTTAGATGAGATTTTAATGTTTGTAAGCTGCCCAGTTGTAAACTGAGAGTGAGTTGGGTGGCTATATAAAGTTTCATAAATAAATAAATAAAGTAAGTAAATAAGTAAATAAATAAGTAAGTAAGTAAGTAAGTAAAATTGAAAGTGCTCAGGGCATGGCAGCTACATTTAATCAATGAAATCTCTAGAAGTTGCCTATGTGAAATCACCAGTTAATTAATATTAGGAAATAAACAAGATGGGAAAAGCATGTAGAGTATAATTTTTTGAATATTTTCCAACCACTTTACCTAATTTACTACTAATAAATTTGTTATGTATAATGAAGCAGCATATTGCATCTTTACATGTGTGCATTTTTCCATGTCCCCTCATGATAGTTTATCTAGTTTGTGTCTATGTGTGCTCTTTCTGGGACACATGACCAGAAAGAAAGAGGGATTTAAGAATTAATCAATCAGCAGCATTACAACTCAGCGCCCGATTGCCTCTCCCATAGGAGAAATTTTGGGATTGGGAGAATTTTTCTTGAAACAACCCCTGATCTGGCTTACTTTCAATTCAACTTTTTTTTTGCCAGCTTCTTTCCTCTAACCAATTTGATGTCATTCCATTCAGTTTTCAGAGAGTCATCCTTCTCACAGACAGGCAGATATCTGAGTCCCTTTTCATCATTCTAGTGATTGGGAAGAATAAAAATAAGACTAAACAAACCTGGGCAGTATACGGATCTAATGCTTGCACCTTAGGAGCCTGGATGTTTTCAGGTCTTGAGGGCCTGGTGATGACTTCTACCCAAGAACTGCTATTAATGCCACCTTGAAAAGTGCTTGCCAATATTCTGTATTCATATTTTTTCCAAGGGCTGAGACCAGCACTTTGATCTAGATAACTCTTGGAACAATTGGAAGGAAAAGAGGCTACTGTGGAAACTTGCTCTGTTCCTTTCACTCTCCTCTCTATTGTGAAGTTTTCAACCAGCCCATTTGGATGAAGAGGAGGTTGCCATGACACAAGAACAGATGTTGGTGTGTCTGAGTATAATTCTGGAGCAGGGATGTCTTCAGGTGCATCTGGAAGGGTTTGTATAGGCAGGCTCTCAGAGGAAAGAGAGCACCCTTTGGAAGTGCACCCTTCTACTTGAAATTTGTAAACTGTATATGGTTCCAAGAAAGATGCAATATGTTTTGATCTAGCTCCTGGAATAGTATCGTGCAGTTGGTTGTTTTGATAGATGTTGTAGTGGGTGACAATGCCATTTGGCCTTGAAGGAGGCTGCCAGGAAATGGTTGTTTCTCTGGATTTCACTTCCAGGATTAGTGGTGGGTCAATAGGTCCTGGTTCTACAACAGAGGAGGGAATGGGGGGAGAGAACATGGTTATTATTTCTAATGTGCAGCCATTCCCTTTTTTTTTGTATGAGTAGTATAATGCAAAAATGAAACTTTTTCACCTGAAAATACATTTGTTTCTTAAAGACAATATGAGCAATGGAGAGAAATCACCCACAAGTTCCTTTACTGTAATGAATACAATAGGGATTAAAGATTATGTAACTATTTATTCTTTGAAAACTATCACTTAGTTCTCAGATGAATTGAGAATCCCATTGGTCTCATTTTATAATAACATTATAACATAATATGATTTTTTTAGTTTGGGCTTAATATGAAAGGTGAACCATCTTTTATGATTTAGAAGTATATAAACCAGCTCCATGGCTAATCCTGGCTTAACTCAACCATTATAGTCAGTGATTCTACAGAGTATTAACTTAACCCACTTTTATAATGATTTAGAGGAATACATTATGGATTCTGCTAGTGGAATGTATTCTTTAGGGATTCTGCTCGGAACATTGCCACTGGCAGAAAGCAATTCTGATTTTCCATTGTAATTCCCAACTTCCATGACCAGATTTTAGGGAAAGATGGAGAACTGAAGGTACAAGTAATAGGTGGGTGAATATCTACTCCTCTCCCATTTAGTCAGTGAAAAACGTCCACTGAATCAAAAATGTCCCATGGGTGAGAGGATCTGTCCAACCATTAGAAGCTTTTGCTGAATACAGACCCTTCTAATTAAGAATCAGTACTATAGTTCTTTCCATAATTAAAACAAGACACAAGATCAGGAATTCCAGTGTTCAATTTTGGTATGCTACTAACATGAACTACAATGGAAAAATAGTGTCAGAGAAGAACTATTTGTTTACCTTCTAGAGTTAGATTTCTTAAAGGCTAGTCTAAATGAAACATCTTTCCTAAATGAAAGTTTGGTATGATGCAACAGGAAACTTCCCAGACCTTTTAACGTTAATAATATCTTACTATATTATTTCTGATATCATAAGCACTTTTCTTCTACCCATTGTTCTATGCAAACCTAGAAGGCGATGCAGAACTAGGCTAAAATATATGAAAGAACTTCTCTCAAGATAATTTTCCTTGTGCTCCCCCATCCTGTTCCCCCAATTATATTAGAAGAGCAGCCAAACCCTTGGGAGAAAATGATGAGCAGAGGGGGCAAGGAAAAGGGGGAAAAAAGCTTGCTTGCTATATCCACTTCATGGCTAAATGGACTTATCTGAATTAATTAATGAATTTTAAGAATTAATTAATTCATGATTTTAAGAAAAATATGAAACGGGCAAGAATCATTGTTTTAAATTTTGCCACTATTCTTTCAGAACACATTCTTAATTACTTTCAGCATGCCATTGTAACAAGCCTGCATGTTTCATAGCCCAGTAAAGCTATTCCTATGCTTCTTGTTATATATGCAATATTTTTGCTCTCTTCTGTTTATAATTCTAATCCATTTTTTGCAATTTATCTACTCCCTGTTAATATTGTAGGTGATTTTTTACTGTGACTGTGACAGAAGCTGCCGATTTAGCTCTTTCACCTACTGATAAATAAACAATGCAGAGATCTGACCTTTAGGTTAACAGGTTTTATGCTTGCTCCACTCAGCACTCTAACAGATTCAATTATCATAAAGGTTCAGGAGCTTCCATGAATACTGAAAAAGATGAACCATATGCCCGCCTAGGTGTTGTGGAACAGCAAATACTCAGCAACTGCCCCCCCTCAAGAAATCCCTTAATTGTAAATAATTTCATCATGCGACACAATCAAGTCACCTTGAATGCAAAACCCCTCAGCCTGTGGAGGCAAAACGTTATTTAAGCTTTAGTGGGCTGCGTTAAATTCTGCAATTTGAAGGGCTGTTAAGTTTTTCAATTGAAATTTCATTTAAAATGCAGGTGCTTTTTATTATATTGAGGCTTTACTGCTCTCTAGGTACAAGCAAGAACATGGTACAAAAACACAAATCTGGCTCAATCACTGATCAGTAACAGCTGTAATTCCAGAACATTTAGCATTCTTATAAAACATCTTGTGAAATCTATAAATTGTTGCAAGAGATCAAGAATGCTATGCCTACCTATTCTGTTAATAGCATTTTTGGTGTTTATGAATTTTTTTGTTGACACTAGATTTTATTGAAAATCTTTTGAAAAGATATACTTGAGTATAGTAATCATTTTAAAGATTTGTTTTTTGATTCATAGGATCAGATGTTCACATTTTCAAAGTCAACAGTGCCAAGGACCTTGAGTTACATTCTGTAGCCATTTGAAAGAGAGGAAAAAAGTAAGCTAGTCATGAAGTATTTTACCAGTATCTACTTGTTTTTCGTTGCTAAATCAGTGCATATTCTGCTTATAACAGCAATTGCCCCTATGTAAATTTCTGTGAATTGGTTGCTGTGAAGACAGATTCTAGTTGAGAGGTTATGTAAGTTGAAAAATTATGTATTAGAAGGTGGTTACAATATACAAGTGATATTCAAAATTACTCAGAAAAGTTTTAGAAAGTATTTGGAACTTCATATTTGTATTAGGATAGGGTTTCTTTTTCATTTCCATAGTTCCAAAAATAATAACTAGATTTAAATAATTTTGAAAAAAAGATTTTTAGGATGACAGGAAAACATCTTGTTAATATTTAAGATATGGAAGATGATAGTGACTTTTGGAAAGTCAACTTAAATCAATTCAGCTTTCAAGATTCATTTTCTACATTGCTGGTCAACAACTTACTAATTAGGCATCTATCTGGACAATTGGACTGTGGTTATCTGCAGGAAGACAATAACCAAGCAGTTTGTTTTCTCTTATGATAAGTAAGATAAAGCTTTCATCCCTACTGCTAGCATTATGGGTATAACATTTGGGATAATGAGATGAAGTTGTATTACAAACCCCTACTGAGTTTAGACATAGCCTTTTTAACATTATCTGTTATAACTTATGAGAATAGAGGCTTAACTTAATTTTCTACTTTGCCTCTCTAACCCCCCCAAAAAACATTAAAAGAAAAGCATATATTTTCATATTCATTTGCTACTACCCCCCTTTTAAAATGGCAACACTTAAAAAAGGATAACTTAATTCAAATATGTCATACCCTTGACCTAGGAATCATTTTCATACATGAAAGAGGAATAGGATGATACACTTATTACAGCAGATGCAGAAAAGGCAAGTCTTAACACCAGCTGTTCTTGTTCCACTGCTCCTGACTGTTGTTACAAAGATGACAACTGTGAACAAGAGACGCAGCCTGGGAACTCTGCCTCAAACACCTTTGTGCAGAAAGTTAAAGAATAGCAAAATGGGGGAGTGCACAGTTATATGATTTGTTTAGGGACAGGCTGATACTTGAAATAGACTACTTCAAGGAATCAGGTCTAACAAGACCAGCTTTCTTCAGGTTATGCCTGGGAGCGTTCCCCATTTAAAGGACCCACCTGAGTGATTTTGGTGCTAGAATAGCACTCTGTGAGAACCTGAGGACCCTATATCTTAGATTAAACCCAGAAGGCCTGTTCAGAAATTTCTACTGTTGCCTGGAACAGGTGAAGTAAATTATCCTGCTTGGTTGCTAGTAAAGAGCCTAACTATATGTTACTAAAACTATTGTGTCTGTTTGGTTGTTTGTAACCTTCAATTGGGCAAACTGTGTAGCATAGAGCAACAATTTTTAAACAAAGGTACCTCAATTGAGCTAACTTAAAGAATGTGTCCAAAATCTGGAACTTATGACTTTCACAGGATTGAAATTTGGCAAAGTTGTGGCTACTTCAGTGCTGCCATTCTGCCATGTCAGCCACAGTCACTTGATCGACATTTCCAATGCTCTTGCCAGCTTCCTACAAGGGAAGTCAATGGGGAAGCTCCCCCTGCTTTTTTGCCAACCCATGGCCATTCGATTGCACTGTTTAGGTAAGGAAATATCTCTGAAATAATGACCCAAAATGTCATAGGCTGCCTAACGTTCTATGAAAGTGGATGGGAGTCGTTCACCCTTGCACTGATTTTGAACTACCTGTCACTGAACTTAGTCTGAGTAGCCAAAACAAACAACACTTTGGAGAACTTTGAATTGGTCCTGCTGAACAAAGAAGAGTTAAAGTTTTATCTTATGATAGTGTTGGATGAATAGACACTTTGCCACTCTGTCTCTGTCTGTGAAGACACAATCATCTAGCATGGTCCTGCTTGGCTGATGGGGTCATCACAATTATGTAAAACACAACTATTAACTATAATTGGAATAGTTTGCTAATATAATAAAAAGCTCTGAATATGAAAAAGTATGCACCCAGTAACAGCAATCACTTTTTAAAGTAAGAATTCATGGGTGAAATGACATGAAAAAGATGGTTATAAAATTTTAATGGAATGATAAAAGGCAAAAGTCAGCCTCTCAGCTGAATTCTTAAAATCTCTATATATCACAATCAGGTCCTTAAATGTAAAATCAATGTGGAATAGAACGTGTTGTCAATGCAGTTGTCACTGGAAAGGAGCCTGTAAGAGTCTGACAGTGACACAACTTCGCCTGCCAGGGCTGAAAATAAAATAATAAACTCCTGTTACTTAGCAGGAATTGTTTATAGAGCCAACTACGGTACATGAGGAGAGAAAGGGGAGGGGCATATCACTTAATGCCTTTGATTGATTCCTCAGGCTATTTCATTATAACATTAATACTGGAAGATAGTTTCATTTTGCCAAATGAAATTATCTTTTATGGGAGGCTATTTTGCTTGTCTGCTTCAAAAGTTCAGACTCTATTTAAGAAAAGGAGGTATACAGTTATCATTAATCTTTTCTAATCATCTGACTAGAGACAAGTGTTTATTTACTTATTAGTGCAGAATTATCTTCTGATGGCCAGGCACGATGGGAATCATAGAATTTCTGATATCTGCAGTGGGCAACAGAAATAGATTATTGCATTTTAAAGGTAATGAGAGTTGTATACTTTCAGAGGTCAGGCAGAACATATCTGTAAGGGACTGGTGCTTAGTGAACTTTCCAGAGCAGAATTGTAAATTTAATCAAACTTTGGAACTAATATAATATAAAATGAGGTCCAGACAATTGCCACATCTACAGTTTAAAAACTAACAATAAATAACAATAATATTTAATATTTAAGAATCCATCCAAATATGGATTTTGAAAGAGTCCTGGTTTGTTTTTTTAAAGAGCTATTTAACAAGCTGACATTCAAGAGACATTTTTCTATTATTAGCATTTACTTGTCTTTTTGTAACAAAGACATTAAAAACACAATGTAGGTTTGGGAGGAGTGGTTCACAAGACAGCTACTACAAACAAAGGCAGAGTATCCTATTGTCCCTGACAAATGTCACTGATGCATTTGCTTTTCTGTCCCCAATATCCATTGTATTTCTTACATTTCTAAAATGCCCTACAAATTCTGTTCCTGAATTCCATTGTGGTGTGTGTTTAAACTGGGGGTAACTATCCCAGTTGGCCTATCCTGGTGCTAATGGAGCAATCTGTTATTGTTTGTAAGTCAAAAAATTTAGTTTGGGACTGCGATTCCCAAGACAGTTGTCTTAAGTGACAGAGTCTGATTTTCTGTGGATGAAGGTTTGGATAATGACTTTATTTAAGATTGGGAAAGGGATAATTGGGTTAAACCTTTTTGAAATAACTTGAATCTTTCCTCCATCTCCCCATATCCCATCCCCATCTAATCTTGGTAATTTTAATATTTACACGTTCAGCTAAAATCGGCAACAACTCAGAAATGAATTGAGCACCATACAAAAAAAGTTTCAGGTGGCTTCATTTGGGATCATGTACCCATTATAACAGGGGTCCTCAGACTTGGCCACTTTAACACTTGTGGACTTCAACACCCAGAATTCCCTAGCCAACCATGGCTGGCTGGGGAATTCTGGGAATTGAAGTCCACAAGTCTTAAAGTGGCCAAGTTTGAGGACCCCTAGCTTTGGATCCTTAGTTAGAAGAATCAAGTAATGGAAATGAGGCTTACAGGGTAGATGAAAATTTTAGGATTGCAGTATAATGAATCCATCAAAAAGTCAGGATGCACACTTAATTATCTATCAGTCTGAGATTTTTCTCCCCCTTTTCTAATGCATAGGAAAATTTAAATGTTTTAAAAGACAATATTAAAAAAACATATAAAACACAAATATCTAATAAAAATTATATACGACACAGAGGATAGGGTCTTTTAACATTTATATCACCTGTAACAAGAATGCTTTTCAAAAACACAGGGCTTTGACCAATTGCTAGAACATGCATGCAGCCTCACAAAGTTGAAAAATGTGGTAATAGCTTCAATATTCTTAGTAAATGCTATGAATGTTACACTGACTTTTACATTGTATGTCCTACAAAAGTGCACTATGTAGTTTTTTCAAGCTACTTACTATCTTCTTCTGTATCTATCAGAGTCCAGTTGCTGAATGTATCACCATATTCATTGCAGGCAATAACCCTCAACTCATAAGATGTATACGGCTGCAGATCCTTGAGTATGTGATGTAAATAAATTGTTGGTTTAGAAAATAACCTAGAGCAAAAATACATATTTTAAGATGGAACTACAAGATCACAAGAGAATGCTGTATGGACAGAACTGCTGCATTTGAGATAAACCACCTCACATCAGTTTGCATTTCTTCAGAAAATAGCAGAGTATTTATCTACTTACTCTGTATTATTTTCTGAGTAGTTCTTAAGTCTTATTTGGAGTCGATATCTGGGTAAGCCTGGAGCATTGTTACGAACTGGTGTAGACCAGAGAACCTGAAGACTGGTTGGAGTAGCAGATGAAAGCCTAGGAGGCAACATGCCATCTGGAGCTGTTGGAAAACATGGATGAATTAGAGCAGAGAAAGATGTGGGCAACATCTGCTGGATGGAATCAAAATACTCAATACACTGGAAAACTGATATTGAGGATCAACAGCAATTAAAGCACAGTTTAATTTAACATCTGTTTGTGCTACTGCAGTATTGGGCTGCAATCCTCTTATATTATAATAATGTTACCATAGTACATCCATATTAATATAAATCCATAGATTGATTAATATGTGATGCTCTCAAATTTATAATGCTGTGTATCTATCTCATCATCTGAAAAACAACTGATTCTGCTCACCTGAGCCTAATTGCTATCTGGTACAAGGGAGCTTAACAAATCAGCTTTAAAACCGATGACTGAAGATACCTACTTTTTCTGTCCTCAGCAATTACAAGCTACATAATAAGCAATCCTGCATACTTCTAGCTCTAGTCACACTGTAAGCCAAGCATGATCAGGAGCACAATGTTACATGATAACATGACAACACTTATTAATTATATTAATAGCATACAAATCACATTTTATTCGCATTTCAGAGTAGATGAAGGTAGATCTTTGAAATCAATGAAGTTCTAAACAAAAATACAATAGCAATCACAATGATAGGAACAGAAAAAGAATAATTAAGCTAAAATATCAAAAAGAGGTTTCAGCCTCATGCAGAAAGGAATTTATTGTTGGTCTTTGTCTATAAAGACATTCCAAAGATGAGATGCAATTTCTATAGATAGATCATACAATTTTTTTTTACTTAGGCTATTTTAACTATTATTGACTAATTAATACCAACTTCTTTGAAATGGAGGACACACTGTTTTAGATACCGGAAGCCAATCAGATTTTAAATGTAAAAAGTACATTGGTAGTTTTGACTGAGCTTCATGGGTGGGATTTAGAAGTCATTTTCAGAATTCAGACTTCTAAAGCACATCTAAATGCTAGTTCTGACATTTGTGAGAGGTTTGAGGGCAGTTATGAAATAGTGGAAAGATTGGTAATCAGAACAGAAATTCTGTTGTGTGTGTTTAAATAAATGCTGTACATGGAACACTTAATGTCCTGAGAATTTATTGATAACTTTCAAACCCACCATTCCTGTTTTATAAGCCATGGTTTAAGAAGAGTGAAAAGAGCATTGGAGTCTAGTGTTGCTTCTCTGTTCCCGTTCTCTTTGCAAAACAGAAGCTGGCCTCAGCATTAAATTTTTGTCTTGACTTAATCAAGAGTTCCTATTAATGGATTTTGTAATAGTAAATTGCAGATGTCTCAGAATACAAAAAAAGGGCAGCTTCTGTTGCCAAAAGGTTACCTGCTTCTGGTTTATATGTTGAGCAGTGGAGGCTATTCCTATTGCATTAAAGGTTATCTATGACCTATGTGTAATTTCTGAATGGCAACCTTTCACTCAGTCACCCTCCACACCTCCCAATTGCACTCCAAGGATCTAAATGGAGTCTCTAACATGCATTTTTCCAAGATATTTTGAAAAACTGGATCCACTGTTAAACAAATCAAGAGCATCCAAACAGCTGATCACCTATAACAATAGATCAAACTTCTTATTATTCAAAAATGTCACATATTTTTATGAATAGGAACTTGATGGGAATATTCCCTCTTTCATCTCTTTAGTCCTAACATTTCCAATAAAGACTGGCTTCATACAAAAGCAATAATTATAAAGGAGCAATAATTTCTCTGTCGCTTTCTTAACAAAAGAGCCATTTACCTATCAGGATGATACACTGCCTCTAACAAACAATGCTACTTCAACTGCCCTTTTTGAGGTTTACTACAGCCCTCAAGGGGCAACCACTCCACCAGTAACTTACTGAATCAACACATCTTGTCCAGGAAATACTCAATTAGCATGGCAAAATAGCATGCAGCAAGTATATAGAAAAAGTGCAATGGATGAAAACAATTCAATTTTATTTCTCCTTAGCAGCATAAACTAGTCAGTTTTGCTACTTAAGAGAATAGGCAAAGGTTAACAAATTAAATACCACCACAAATTCTTTGGAGGAAAGATAGACTTTACATAATAATAAATGAATTATTAAGAAATCTGTACAGCCAAGTTGCACAAATGTCCATTAGCAGGGATACATGTGGATCCAGAACCACACCTTTGCAGCCCTGGTATATATCAACACAGCTATTCTTCATCTGATTTAATAAAACTAAAATATTATATTATCATTAGCCATGGTGATGCAGTGGTTAGAATGCAGTATTGCAGGCTAATTCTGCCAACTGCCTGCAATTCGATTCTCACCAGCCTTCCATTCTTCCGAGGTTGGTAAAATGAGGACACAGATTGTTGGGTGCAATATGCTGACTCTGTAAGCCGTTTAGAGAGGACTGTAAAGCTCTATGGGGCAGTATATAAGTCTAAGTGCTATTGCTAAGAACATTTTGTTCTTCCTCCATTGACAAAAACTGAATAGTAAAACGAAAGAACATTTAATATTTTAAAAATTCTAATGTCTATCCAAGTTGAGAATTTGGAGGTCTTGGTTTGAAGGCCTTCCTCAAAATCCAGGAAAATAAAAAGAAACCATCTTTTTCATTAGGGGCTTTTTCATCAGGGGCTGCCATAAAGAAGAGGGAGTCAAGCTATTTTTCCAAAGTGCCTGGAGGCAGGACAAGAAGCAACGGGTGGAAAGTAATCAAGGAGAGAAGCAATT